CTTGAACCCAGGACCTCCTGCATGCTGAACACGCACTCTACAGCTGACCTATACCCTCCCCCATACCAAATTTTTAAAAGGAAATTGTTTGTTAGCTTTTCCCTTGATATAGCGTTGCTAGGTAAAATGTAAGATGCTGGTTAAGTTTGATTTTCACATAAACGACCAATTATTTTTGTAGTTTTTTTTTTTTTTAGTATTTTTAGTCCCACACAATATTTTGGACATACTAATATTAACAGGACTCATTGCCTATCTTAAATTCAAATTTAACTGGGCACCTGTTTTTGCCAAATCTGACACTCCTACTCCCATATCAGTCTTCCTTGGGTAGTGGGGTTTCTCCACTGCTCCATCATGGAGTTCATGAAATAGAAGTCAAGCCCTTGAGTTGATCTAAGTCCCTGTGGCTTGCAGAAGTGGCTTCCTCTAATTTAGACACTGTCTGAGTAGCAGCAACATCACTGCAATAAAATTTCACAGGAAGGTCTGGCTTTTCAGTGCACAGGGCACTTTCCCATCTGCTCTCCCCTGGGGGTAGGCTTTGAGCCCCATGCTGAGATGGGAACACTGAGGTTGAGCTGGTGGAGGACACTTGCTGAGGGTCCACAGCATGATGCAGGGGAGAGGCTGGCTTGAATCCAGGCCTCTTTCCCCTGAGCCTCCCCTGTATGAGAAAAGGCTGGTCAGGGGTTGGTGGCAGGGGAGGTAAGCTCTTTCCTGATGGGGTCCAGGATGTGCCACGCTAAAACATGGCACTGTGGCACATTGACTATCTTAAGCAGAAGGAGTTTGAGAAGACAGCAGAGGCAGGAAGGTCACTCTGACTTCCCCTACCTCACCGTTCTTCTCTGAAAGCAGAAGATAAGTCTTCCAGGTGAGAGGTGCCCTCCTTTCAGGGTACCAGGAAGAAGAGAGAAATCCTTATCATCAGAGACGAGGACTTGAGGCCTGAGACGTCTGGGTACTTCATCACTTACTACATCTAGTCCAAACCCCTCTGCCTTGGTGGTTCTTCTTCACAAATTTACTGTTTCTCTGTCAAAAAGGTGTCAAAGCTTCCTGCTCTGGTCATTTCTCAGGGTCTCCATTCTCTTGTGAAGGCTCTCGTGTACATGTGAAAATTTGATAAAACGTGTACGCTTTTCTCCTGTTAATCTGTCTTTGTCCAGTTTAATTTTCAGACCCAGCCAAGGCCCCTAAGAGGGTTGAAGAAAACTTGTTTCCCCTACACCCTTCACCCCAAGAACCACCCCTCCTCTTTATCCCACACGCACCTTGACCTCTTTCTCCAGATAGTCACACAGCAGAATCTGGGGGTCGATGAGGTAGTCGGGAGGATAAAGGGGCATCGAGTGCAGGGGCCGGCGGCTCACACTGGTCCGAAAGGCTGCCCGGCGCCCAGCCTTGGGGAACACCAGCCTCCGGATAGGGGACACGAAGCCCTGGGGGAGGTGGGTCGCGGGGTGGGGGGAAACAGTAAAACAGCAACTGACTTTATCTTATCCAGCACTTGCATGCCCAGCATTTTACTTACAGTGTCTAATTTAATTCTTACAAGGACTCTGTGGAGGGGTTACCTCTGTGATTCCCATTTTACAGATGGAGACTCTAAGCCTCAGAGAGGTCCCCAGCTAGTAGCGGTAGAACCACTGGTTCACCCTGGGCAGTCTGGCTCCAAACCTTCCATTCTGAACACCCAGGTGAAGGCGGAAGCCCTGCCCAGGCCCAGGCTTAGGTTTAAGGAAGCGGCCCAGCTGGAGCAAGGACAGAAAAACAGTAACATTCAACGTGGCTGAGTGGTGGGTGCATAGGTATTTGTTAAGCTATTTTCTGTGCTTTCCTAAAAATTAGAAATGGTTAATAAGTACATTCAAGTATAATCCAGCAGATACCTGCATAAAAATGGCCTGGAGCAAGGTTAAAGGAGCAAATTCCAGGGCCCCAGCTCAGCCCAAGACAGAATTTAAACCTCACAGGAAAGTGTGAGCGCGGCCCTCAGTGTGTGCTCCAGGTGGTTCTGTTGCACACCCAGCTTGTTTTACCGTCAGTATCATGGAGCCTGGACAAAGTCTAAGGAAGCTCTGAGAAATGAGAACAAGCGATCTGGGAAAGGATATTCCAAGCAGAGTGCACAGCATGTGCAAAACCCTGGCTGCTTCAAGGGCTGGATGAGCAGGAGCCTGGAGAACGTGTGTTGTAGTCCGTTGTGGCTGGATGATGAGATTAACAAGTTATAAAGGGCTTGAATGCCAGCTACGGAGCTGGGGTTTTATCCTGTGTGTGTAGCGTTTGTGTATGTGTGAGTGGAGTGGGGAAGTAAATATTTTGTCTGTGACCCCCAAAGGTCCAGCCCTGCCCACCTCTCCAGCCTCATCTCACCCAACATGCCCCTCACTCCTGCCCTCCAGCTATAGGGCCATATTTCAGTTCTTCCTACTTGCTACATTCCTTCCTACCATGGGGCTTTGCACATGCTGTTCCTTTGCCTGAAACACCCTTCCCTACGCCCTATCCTTCCACCCATCAGACCGCAGCACAAACTGACCAGTCTAGGGCTGGGTCCCTTAATATTCTGTCTCCCAGCACTGCAAAATGGAGACTTTCATACAATTTTAAATTAATTGCTTTTTTTTTTTAATAATAGTTGCTTCCTCCACTAGACTGAGTTACAGGGAGGGAGCAGGGACCTTGTCTGACTTTGCTCACCACTGCATCATCCCCAGCACCTGGCACAGTGCCTGGCACATCATAAGTGCTGAATAAATAAATAACTATAGAAGGAATGAACCAAGAGGGGACAAGCACCTGTGTCTTGGCTCCCTATGGAGCCCTCAAGATTCACATCGGAGCCTTTTCAAACAGCCCAACCTAGGTTTCCTGGAGGAAGAGGGCGCTGTGGGAGTGGGAGTTGGAATCCGAGAGGCTCCCTGGACCACAAAGACAACCAGGTGAGATGCCCGGAGAACTGGACTAGAAAATTTCTGAGAGTCAGGAAGGGGTAAAGATCTAGGGGTTGAGGGGAGTCACCCCCAGACTGAGGCCTTTGGAGTAGAGCTGGTCCCTGTATAAAGACAGGGAGGGGGCAGTCTAGGTTGGAGCCCAGCGGGGCAGCAGGTAGGTGTCTCAAGCCTGAATAGGCAACCTCATATTGCAGAATTACCCTGGCTGAGGTCCTTCTATCTCGGGAGGCAGGGAGCAGGGGAATGGGTTTGTTGGGCATTTGTCTGTCCTTCTGTTTGAGAAGCTACAGGAGGGAATCCCCAGGAACACCAGAGAAGCAAATTGGGAGTCCCTCCCAAACTAATCTGTCTGTCTGGATTTCCCTGGAAGGTGCCTGTCTCTCTGTCCATAGCTGGGATGGCAGAGGCCACTGAGAGCAGGGAGACAGGTTAGGGAGTTTGGAACGCAAATGTTTGGCTGCCTGAGGGTGAGGAGGAAGGTCTTTCCAAATAAGAAGAAAAGCCTTCCTGATGCCACTTGTTCCCATCTTCCCACCCCCCACCCCCGGCTTCCCACTTCTTCAGCTCCGTGGGCATTTCTCTACCCTACATCCCTTCCAAACTCCCACCTACCTTTTTCCCTTTCTTGACTTCATATTCCATGGTGAAGCGTCCCCTCCACTCCTGCCACCCTCCAGGCCACCTCCTCCACCTTCTCCCCTACGCAGTTCCTTTGTTCTTTTTCCTGCCTGGTCGGAAACTCCACCAGCCCCGGAGTTCCTGCCCCTCCCGTCTGATAGTGAGTGGAGGTGGAGGGGTGGGGGTGTGAAGGATGCAGCCTTGGGACCCTCCAGCTGAACAGTAGGATCCCAGCCAGAGCAACTGACCTGGGGAGAAAGCCCCAAGGCTTCCAGCCAATGGGCTTGCTAAAGAGGGGGCTTGGGATCTGAGTAAGGCTGGGAAGGGTGCCCTGAATTTGGAATCAGAAAATCCCAAATTTCACCCCTACTTCTGCCACTGACCTTGCTGTGTGACCTTGGCAAGGCAAATCAGTTCCCCCTTTGGCAGCCTCAGTTTCCCCCTCCCCTTTATAAATTAGGAGTCAGCACTGCCTTCCTGTCTGGGCTGCTGTGATGAGAAATAAATGAAAGAGTGGGTGGGAAAATACTGTATAAAAAAATTGTGAAATACTATGTCCAAGCAAGGTATGATTTTAAAAAGTAATCATTACAATTAAGGGAGGCAGTATGCGTGGGCTTCCCAGACAGTCTGCCTGAGTTTGAATCCTGGCTTTGTCACTTACTTGGGTTATGACCTCAAGCCTGTAACCTCTCGTGCCTCAATTTCCCCATCTATAAAATGGGCATATTACCAGCCTGATCTCAGAGTGAATTTGTAAAATTACATGGTCTTAGAAAAGCTCCTGACACATATGAAACACTCAATAAATATTAACTACCTATCTGTGTGTCCTGGGCTCTTTTATTGTCTCTTGGGAGAATAACATTAGGGAAGCAAGGCTCCCTTGTGATTTGGGGCTGAGTACTTTATGTCTTTCATCTCACTGATACCTCACATTAGGGTACCATTATTATACCTGTTATACAGATTTTAAAGACAGGCTCAGCTGCAGAGACTGACCCAAGGATGGCACACAGTGAAGGAGATGAAGACCAGGGATTGCAGCCTTGTCTGATTCAATCTGAAGCCTGGTTCCTCACCTCTAGGGTCTATGCACTCTGCACAGCCCACCCAGGACAGCTGGGAAGGTTCTGACTCACCCCTCCTCACCTGGCCACGACCCCTGGTTTCTGGAGACCCGAGTCCTGGAGACCCGAGTCCTGGAACTGGTTTGTTGTATGATCCAGGGCACGTAGCTTATTGTAACCTATCTGGGCCTCAACTTCCTTGTCTTTCTAATGGAAAGAGTAATCCCTACAGCCCTGTCCTGCAGTCAGAGGTATGGCAGGAAAGATGAGCGGATGAGAAGGCTGTCAGAAAGTGTGAAGAGCAGGGGCCAATGCAGAGGAGTGTTTTGAAAGTTTTTTCTGAAAGCCTGGGTGCAGCAGATCAGTGCCCCTGGGAGCGAGGGCCCCAGCTGCCCACCGCCTCTGGATGTGAGGGCTACAGGGGACTCCCGGACACCCTCTTCCCTCTCTCTCTCCC